CATCCCTTCCCTTCCCTCCCCCCCGTGCCCGCACTCACGTAAGAGCCGCCCTGATGCTCTGCGAGGCATCAGTTTCCATCAGCCCACGGCTCGCTGCCCTCCCCGGGATGCTGCAGCCTCCTCGTCCCCTTCCTCATCCCGGGGGAAGAGAAGGGCCCCTCTGAGTTCATCTTCTCCCGTCGTTACGCCTGCCTGAACACGTCCCATTGATTCGGGCGGCCTCTTGAGCTGCGGGGGAACAAAACAAACCACCAAAAACCTAACCCCCCAACCCTTTGGAACGTGTTTAAAGCCCCTTTGCAGGGCTGGCTGGGCACGAAGAAGGGCTTTTGTCGGCGGACAATGGCAAACCCGGCTGGCTCTTCAGATTAATGCAATCTCTTAACAACCTGCTCTGTCCCGATAAGGGATTCGGGCGGCCTCTTGAGCTGCGGGGGAACAAAACAAACCACCAAAAACCTAACCCCCCAACCCTTTGGAACGTGTTTAAAGCCCCTTTGCAGGGCTGGCTGGGCACGAAGAAGGGCTTTTGTCGGCGGACAATGGCAAACCCGGCTGGCTCTTCAGATTAATGCAATCTCTTAACAACCTGCTCTGTCCCGATAAGGGGACTGGTTATCTGGCGAGGTTAACAGGAATCAGTGTTTTCACGGAGATTTTCGTTATGTTAATGGAGTAGCTTTCTGGCTCTGACCTGCCTTGGCCTAAAGCTTGGGTGACAAAGAGGCTTTTTGGCTACTCAGATGCCTCCAGGGTGCGTTGTGCAACTAGGAGTGCTTAGCTGAAAAAAAAAAAAACCCAGTCCTAAGCACATAATTTTATGCCCGACGTCCCACGTATAAAACAGGACGTAGGCTCATTTAGAGGAGGTAGAGGGTGTTGGTGGCTCGATGGGTCCTGCTGATGCCAGGCTGAGGGAGCCCTGCCCTGCTCCCCGCCACGTGCTGCCGCTGGGGAGTTCTGCCTGTGAAACCCTCCGAGAAACTTTTACTTTCACTACATAACGAGCCTGAGGAGGCTGCCTGGGAGCCCGTTGCTCCATCCGTCCGCCTTTTCCTCAGCCATCCACTTCCTTACCTGTGCTCGAGGTTATTTTGCTCAAACCTGCCTTGCTTTGCGGTAGCAGGAGTGCTGCAGCCCCGGTGTTAATCCTCTTTCCACGCAGCGACCTGGTAATTCAATTAAACACAAACAGCACGTTCCCCAGGCTGGCGGGACCACGTGCTGGTCCTTTATCTCCCACCCGGCCTGGAGGAGGCTGTTGTTCCCAAGGGAAGATGGTGATGGATGGCACGTAGGGAATTGGGGCTGCAGTACCTTGGCGCTGCCGCAGGGCTCCAGCCATCCCAGAGCTGCGGCTCAGGGATCCGTTCTTCCACCTAGAGTTGTATTTAGCTGTAAAAAAGACCCTGAAACTTTCTTTTGTGATGCAAAACAGGGTTTTACTGTTGCCTTGGAGGCAGGTGGGTGGTTTCTGCTGATGTGGGGCCAGGCTGAAGGGCTCAGTATCCTGTGGTGTCGGTAGGTGTTCCTGCACTGCAAACACACTCCAGATAAGTCCTTCTTGCCAAACATCTGATGCTCAGCACCTCCAGTACCTTTTTTGTTTGATTTTTTTTGTTAAGCCTCCTGTATTCCTTTGCCCTCTAAGGAGGGCAGGCTTGGCTAAGTCACACGTGGATCCACAGCTAATCTGTTGTCACGCAGGCAAGTCCTGGTGTCACCCTTCCAGGTCCCATCAAGCCCGAGGGGCATCTCCATCCTGGAGCTGCAGGGCTCTCCTCCCGTAGAGCTGCTGCTGGGACAGTGTCCTCCAGCCGGGAGCAGCTGGTGGCTTCTGGGTCCTGTCCAGTGTTGCAGAAAGGAGGTGGCATTTTGGGGTGGCCCTCTTGTCCTTGTGTAACAGCACCAGCGCCCGCCGATGGGGAATGTGTTGTCCCCAGTCCCTGGATGAGGGGTTGACGGGCTGTGTTACAATCCTGCCTCACCACAGAGCTGCATTTTTTGTTGTTGAGTCCCTTTAGCTTCTGGAATAAACCAAGCTGATATTTTTCTAGGGTTTTTTTTGGGAATTTGAAGGCCTGCCCGGTTTCATAACCCTGCCCTTCTCAAATGTAAGTGCTAACTCAAACCATTTCTGCCTTTGGCAGGGGCACTAGGCAGGAGCAGCCTTGTTCTACAGTGTCAGTGAGGTTGTGTTAAGTGAAGCTGACCAATAAAATCTGAATCCTCAATGCTGTGAGCCTCCTTTTGCAGGCAGGAAACCATCCTTGTCCAGCATGGCAGTGGTTAATGCCGGGCCTGCCTGGGGACAGTCCCTGCCAGGCCTGGCTGCTGCTGTTCTCACTTCCCTTTGTTGCCGATAAGGGCAAAGACTTGGCCCGGGGTGGGGACTGCCGGGGTGGGGGTTGCTGCTGCCTCTCTATTCTCCCTTCCCGGGGTGCCGCGGGTTTAGGGTTGCTCCTGGCTGACCGCAGGATGAGCTGGCTGCAGTTAGTCACCTCGCTGCTGCAAAAACGGTCGGCCTGACCTCAGATGGCTCTTTCTAGAATATTCAAGAGCGAGGGAGACACTGGATATCTTCAAGAAGCCCTGCCTGAAGCATAGGCAGCCCAAGTAATAAACTCGGGGATTTAATTGCTATTCCTTGAGAAAGGAATT